GTGAAGACAGGGAGAAGTGGGGGCTAATAGGGCTAAACAGAGGGGGTGGGCTAAGGACAGTTCCTGCTTGCCTTGTTTACATCTTGTGAGTGACTTTTATTGCCTCCCAATTGGATTTGCATTTCAGGACAAAAACTGAATGTCACCAAACTGAAAGTGTTGTAAAATAAGGCGAAAACTACAGGAATTATTTAATTTGTAGGGTTAGGGTTTTAGGTTAATACGGGATCGAAAGTCCATTGAAAACCATTCATGCCAAGAAATCTTTTTAGAGGAGCCGAAGGCTTCCCCCTCGTTCGGTTTTCGCAGCCTCATCTTCATTCTCGCCACATTGAGCAGCAGTTCTGAATGTGCGAGAGTAAAACTAAGTGCGTCCTTTAAGGATCTCCCCTTCTGCGGCTCCACAACCGGGATACATCGCTCTATTCCTCCCTTCATACTTTTCTTCCTGCGCTTCCCTGAGTCCTTTCATTTCGTATTTAAGTAAAGGGAAACGCAACAGAAAGGGAAATGCGGCTAGACAACAGCAAGGAAAATGAGGATGAAAAGGACACAGAGACGGGTGGCAGGACAGTAGTCCATATTTGCTGACTTAGCTGCAATTATGGCAGATATTTTTATGAACTTGATGTCAGCACACACAAACTCTTCGTCACATGACACACACATAAGGACTGAGAGCTGAGTAGATAGGGACATCAAGTTTAGTGGATGGAAGAAAACAGAGAGCCAAAAGGCCAAACGGAGCGAGGAAAATGAAGATGAAAATGTCAGTTGGGAAGCTCCAAGAGAGTGGAAAGCTATGAAAATCATTTGTTAGTTTACCAGAAATTTTGTAAAAAAAGGGAATAAGGCTGGCAGTCTTTATTAAGAAGAAAAATGCAGGCTAAACGAGCCACTTATTTTATTTGTCTTTAAATAACCAATAAAGACTTTGAATTCGTATACCCTCGCTCTTTGGAAAAAAGAAAATAAATGCATTTAATTTTGGTACATTTTTACCTTACTTCAATTGTTTTCCTCATTTATTAAAAATGTAATATACAAGTTCCTGCTCACGTAAACAGTCCTTACATTATAATTAATTCCGCTTTATTGTTGATTTTACGGGTGGCACTTGAAAAACCACACGACTTCGACCAGCAAAAATCAGAAGTTAATTGTTCAAATAAAGCCGGGTCACACATGCTTCGTCCTTTGACCTGTACCTCCCGTGTTTATCCTGTGCAACAATGGACGTTGGGCCAGAAATCAGCGCCTCGCTTTGACCAAAAACTCAAACAACTTTTCCCAAACTAATTTACGGCGCAGTTAAACATGCGAACATTTCGTTGGTAATTTTAACGGCAACAGGAAAGGGGAGAAATTTCCCTCTTTGTTGCAGGTTTTCATTATTGCTGGAACAACGAATTTCGACAACGCACTTTCCATCACATTTTCATCGCTTTTAATTCAAGGCTCAATAAAAATCATCTGCAACACATTTCCTGTTTGATGGGGCTCCCATTTGGCGAGGGAGTTTTATTCCCCTTTAAGAGTCTCGCGAGGAGAACTGAAATTCTCGGTCGTAAAATTAAATTTCTCTGCAATTAATTCAGATCTCTCTCTTTCTCTCTAGGCGAAGAGTGTGCTGGAATTTTTATCGCTGACCCGGAATGACCTTCGCATCGATTTCACTGCCTCCTGTCGCTCCCTCCCTTTCGACTCTATTTTATTTTCTTTTAATTTATTTATCTTTTCGGAGATGTTTCCCCTTGAAGTTGATTTTATGCTCCAGCTCACTGCCTCTCCTTCGTTCTCCTTAACTTTTGTCTGTTTTCGGTCGTTTTTCCTGTCGCCTCTTAATTGTGTTTAAATTAATTCTGAAAAGAGGGTAAGGAGCTTCGATTTCTGTTTATCTTTGGTAATTTCAATGGAAACTGAAATGAATTTTCTTTGAAATTTATTACTACGGAAATTAAAGGAAGTTTGCCAAGGACAAAGGCCTTGGGATGTGTACTGAATCGGAAAATATCGAGAGTAGTTAGACTATTAAATTCAGTAAAGTATTAATGTTTGTATAGCTTAAAAAATAAACTCTGTGATATTTAAAGTTTATGGATAATTACACCAGAGAAATACCCATACATATTTATAATCCGTTTATTGACCTCAGACATATTCAGCATTTGAACTTTGCCCGAGAGATCAGAGACTCATAAAACTTTCTGCAAAATAACAACAAGCACAAGTTCCATGCACAGCAGAGTTTTCTATTTGTCCTGCGTTTTCACTGCCGATTTTTATCACGGGCACATTGAAAATTTACGAGTTTCCACAGCGCATAAATTCTGCGCCGTTTGCCAATTTTTATTATCTGCAAAATACTTTATGCGCATCTGAGGGATACACGCGAGTGGGGAGCACCTAATGGATACATGAGCCCAAATTGAGACACTTTGCATAGACCAACGCAATCATCGCTCTCTTAGCTGGAGTCCGGGAAGTTTCTCCAAGGAAAAGCGTGGAAAATGAGCCAACAAATAATGATAAAAGGTGAAAAATGCACTTAGAAGGGACGGGAGTAAAGAGAAAATACTAAGCGTAACTTATTATGGAAGACGGAGGGCGGAAGAGGCGCTGAAAAGAAAACTTTCCGCGGAAACTTCAGCTGCATGTGTTGCACACTTTGTGGCGCTCCAGAGAAAGCATAAAAAATGAGGAAAGAAAATATTGCGAAATTTCAGCTTCAAGTAAACAGGCAAAACTAATTTTTAATGCTCCTTCAAGGGAAGGGAATCGCAGACGGAAACTGTCTTCCTCCGATTGCGATGCAAAATGTCGTCACTTTGTTTCCTGACAGCGAGGATCATCAATCGCTGTGCCTTTCTTAAGTCTGCAAAGGATCCCTCAAAGAAAATATAATAAATAGGAGCAGAAAAAAGTTATTAAAAAAGTCTCCCAAGAGGACATTTTCGCCTTCAATAAATTTTCAATTTCCGTCTTGAAATTTGCAATTTTACTGAAGCAAAGCGAATTTTCCCCTCCTACAACACTCTCCTGTCTCAGGGGACACTTTTCGAGAGTTTTTCCTGCAGTTTTTCCACACAAGCTCACAAGAGTTTATCGAAGGACATAAAAACCCAGAAAATTGCATTGTCTGTGCACAGAATGCACAATATTAGGTGAGCTGGTAAACAACTGCCGGGATTCCCCGCAATCCTTTGACAAGTCAACAACTGGAAAAGTGCCCCTTCCACAATCATAAATCAGAAAATTCTGCCAGCAATTTGATTTGATTTGCAGACTCTGCGAAAATATTTCATAAATATTTACCCCAGTTTTTTCAAGTTATTTTAACACCCTTTTACATTCTCCCCTCCTATCTCTGGGCGAACATTTGCAACTGTGAAAATATTTTTCGCGATTTGCGTTTGTTTTCCTTTTGCTACTTTGTAGTGCAAATATTTTCGCACTTTGCCGTTCGTGTTTCCACCACTTTTGCACTTCATTTGCCTCGGTGGGCGGGTCATGGCTGTTTGTTTTCCTTTGAAGTGCCAAATTGGTGCACCGATTGCATTTGAAATGAGATTTGATCGCCCTGAAATCGTGAGAAGGTTCCTCCGAACGGGGTTATGGAAATGCTCCAAGTATCCTTAGCGTCTCGTAAGGGAGATTCCAGCCCTTTGGGACCGCTTCCATTTGATTTTAACGACTTGCCAGTAAGCTGTCCCGCAGGCACTGCGAATCCTTCTCCGAGTGAAACATTAAACTTTGCCCCGTCAGTGGAATAAGGATAATGACAACATGGCGAAGGGATATCAGCAGCAAGGAATGACAGCGGGAATAATAGCCAAACAAGACATGACGGCAATAAGGGAAAACATTTTCAATAATCCCAAGCAAAAGGTTAAAGGCGCGACGTTTTCTCTGCTTTGCTTTGTTTTTGGGATATTAAAAATAATTTTCTTTAGTTCAAATCCTTTTGAGTGATATTCCTGGGGTCTTCGGCTTTTTGGGAACGCAGAGATTTAATTTTAATTATTTTTCTGTACAAGAATAGACAAACAAACACTGAATTTCTCAATTCTCGGAATTTCTCTTTCTCAATTTGTATATATATATATAATTTATCTAATTAACTCATTCTGCATTCACCCTTCATCTTATTTTTCTTATTTTTGTAATCCCCCTTCTGGAAGGAATTGTGTCAGCTTTAGTCGAAGTTGGCAGGAGGAATCCCTTGGATCCCTACATCCTCTTTTAGAGCCTCTAATTATGCGAGCTGGCTAAAGGCGCGAGTTGCGTTGCCTAATTGCAAACGACTGCCTCGAAGGCGGCTTACGTGGCGGATACGCGACGTCGGAGAGCCGCTTTGCTTTTTTCTTTTGGCCTTTGAGGTGTTGTTTTTTCGCGCCTTATTTTAAATTAAATCACGCACGACTTTTGCGAGTTTAAAAGGGAGGAATAAGTGAAGACTGGGAAAGGGAGAACACCGAAATGTGGCCCTTGACGCTTGGATGCTGCGTCTAATCAGCGAATTAGAAAGGGAGAATGGCATGGGGTACATTTTTCAGCTATTTCCCACCGCAAGTATGTCCTTGTTTCCCCCTGCTGAGGCTTTTCACAGCTTGTGCGGGAGCTGGGAAACTCGTTCATGGGGAAATATGAGCCACAATTGAAGGCAATTTTGTGTTTAATTAAGCTGGAATGGCAATGGTTAAAGTCATTTTCGCAAGCACAAGGGGTAAGGGGTAAGGGTGGAACCGCTCCGCTCATTTTGCGATGCAAATTGGATGAGCCGCAGGACTTCCAAACACCTGAAAGGATCTTCGCCTGCATTGTTGCCCTCTATTTACTCTCAGTTTGCTTGTTGTGGCCAGCAATTAAAAATTCAAACTGCAATTGTGTCGACAACTGCTTCTACTAATTGTAATTGCAAATTCTAGAGCGAATGTCCCCAAAGGACTCACAAAGGACAGCCCGAGGATGCGGCTTGGCTGCACTCAATTGTTATGAGAATGCGGTTTAACGACGAAGAGAAACTGCTCGGAGATTTGTAAGTACTTGGGAACTAAATGAAAAAGCTGGATTGTGGGTTCTCATTTCAACCTAAACTATGAATTTAGCTTTTAAACAAAAGTCCTTTTTTAAAAGGAACAAAATGCTTTTAATCGTAATCCTGTGTCGTTCAGCAAATTGTTAATAAAAATACCTTTATTAAAAGTTAAAAGGTAGGGTGTGTCAGAAAGGCATTTGCCTGTGACACCTGCTAAAAGTTTACAGAAAACAAACAGAGCTGCCACAAGGGGAGGGAATTGGAAAAGTGTTAACTTTGCAACAGTGTCAAAAACTGCAGGCACCCCGGGAGAGCCAAGTTAAGACCGTTTAAAAGTTTGTTGCGGCCATTAGGGAAAAGGTTAAAAAATAATGGTAGCCAATATGTTGAATCGAGAAACTAAAAGGTAACTTTGGTATATAATATTAAGTTACTGATTAGAGCATTAATTAACCACGTAACCAAGCTTTAAGTTAAAGGGATTTTTTTAATTCAAACTATAACTGAAGGGTTACTAAACTTATTGGCAGATCTCTAAAATTGTTTGTTTGCATTTCCTCTATCTAGCATCAAAGTAAGCCCTAATAAGTAATTTCCCTGCCGCAAGGAAAGTAATTTTTCCCTTAACCAATAATTTCTGTATAATTAGATTGCTTATCCATGCCGCCGTAATTTTTCTATCCCCCACCAGTACTCTATGTCGGATTGGCTTCGATGGGTTATTAGTCCGTCAGGACCTTATTACGCTTTCGGGAATGTTACCGTCGAGTCGCTTTCGCCAGAGCCTGGCGCGGTTTACCCTGAAGGCAACCCTGTATGGGTCGTGGATACTCGGCCTGTTACCATTCACCTTTGATTCAAGGAAACGGCAGGTGCAGCGTTCCAAATGGCTCCTGGCTTATGGGCTGTGTCTGAACATAACTCTGCTGGTTCTTTCTGTGCTGCCGGAGACCGATGACCACAACTCTATCAAGGTGGAGGTCTTTGAGCGAAATCCCTTGGTCAGGCAGGTTGAATTCTTGGTGGAGATCATTGGCCTAATAACCACGGTGCTCGCTTATCTAAGGATTTTCTGGAGAAGCCAGGAACTAGCAGAGATCATCAATGAACTTTTGACGCTGGAGAAGCTTCATTTCAGCGAGCTATGCCTTGGACACTGTCATAAGTTCGACGAATATGTGATCTACAAGGGACTCATAATTATCATGGAGATTGCCTCCTCTCTATTGATCTACTTCGGGATACCGGAAAGCAGGTTGGTTGTGCATGAGGCCGTCTGCATCTATATAGTCCAGCTAGAAGTGCTTCTTGTGGTAACGCACTTCCACCTGGCTGTAATCTACATTTATCGCTTTGTGTGGATCATCAACGGGCAGCTCTTGCACCTGGCCAATCAGCTGAGAAGGGGTGAGAGGGCGGACCCGGAAAGGGTTCAGCAGCTCCGCTGGCTGTATGACCGCCTTTTGGAACTGAACAGTCGCCTAGCCTCCATCTACGACATCCAGGTTACGCTTTTCATGGGCACTCTGATGTCGGCCAATATCATTATAGGCCATGTTCTAGTCATCTTCTGGATCAACATAAAGAGATTCTCCTTCTGGATCATGATTCTAATTTTTCCACAAGCCTTGGTCGTTAACTTTTGGGATCTTTGGCTGTGCATCGCCTTTTGCAACTTGGCTGAGAATGCGGGCAAGGCCACCTCGACGATCTTGAAGCTATTCAACGATATTGGGAATATGGAAGGGGAACTAGAGCAAAGAGTAAGCGGTATTATCTTTCTTTATGACTTCAGTCTATTGTCTAATCTCTTCTCTTTTCGATAGATCGAAGAGTTTACCTTATTCTGTAGTCATCGCAGGCTGAGGTTACGTCATTGCGGATTGTTCTACGTCAACTATGAGATGGGTTTCCACATGATCATCACCAATATTCTATATGTGGTCTTCTTGGTGCAGTTCGATTATATGAATATAAAATTCACGTGAAGATAAGTCGGACAATGAAGTAAATTAAGTATTATTCAATTCAATTATAAATCCGCAATAAATTAAATAATTTTAACTTTTAAATAAATAGTAAATAAAATTTGAAATTGTGATATCTTTTATCAAACTAATGTCTTTAAATAGAGCAGTAGAGTGCCCTCTTTCTATATCCCTATAACCCATAATTTACCAACATTTTAATAAACCTAAAAGGGTTTGCTTAGGTGCGTTAACTTTTTCCCAATCTAAGTACTTTCCGGTTCTCTGCTAATTAATTTTCCAGCTACTACCACTTTTGTTTACATTTGTTGGCCGACAGTTGGTGGTGGACATTTCGGAGTCAGAAATGTTTCGACCACGTCGCGGCTTTTGTCAGAATTGTGCTAGGCTCATCCTCAGCGCAGTTCTTTACGGATCATGGATACTCGGATTGTTTCCGTTCATATTCAATTCCCGCAAAAAACAAATGAGCCTGTCCCGATGGCTTCGAATCTACGGTTTAGTTTTAAACTTCCTCCTGATTTTCATACTCATGTACATCAGCTATGAAGCTAAGAAGACTTCAAAGCTGGATGCCTTTGAGCGGAATCCCTTGCTGGAAGACATAAACATGCTTATTGGAGTGATGAGTGTCCTCATTGCCATCGTAGTGCACTTGATGAACTTTCTGGGTAGCAACCAAGTGCTGTGGATACTCAATGAACTGTTGTGCCTAGAATATCGGCACTTCGGGGGAATGAATTTACGGAATTGTCCCAAGCTAAATAATTTTGTGATCCAAAAGAGCGTGACCATAACAGCGGCTATGGTAACCCTCTTGGCTGTCCATTACGGAATGCCCGGAAATGTAACGACCCTCATGATGCTGCTGCTCATGTGCCTAACCCAGATGGGTCTCAATCTCAATGTGATGCACTGCTATCTGGGCGTCCTTTTTATCTACCGATATGTGTGGCTCATCAACGGACAACTCTGGGATCTGGCCCATCGATTGAGCGAGGATTCCTCGACGGATTTCAGATCCTCCAGGATTCGCGAACTTCTCTCTCTATACAGACGCCTTTTGGAGCTAAATGGGAAATTGCAATCGGCCTTCGAGTTGCAAATGTCGCTTATTATACTATCTGGCCTTGCTGGCAATATTGTGGTTGTCTTTTTCCTAATCGTGTTTGAAATTAGTATGCACAAGTCGTCGATCTTTGTGGCTTTATTTCTCCAATCTTTGTTGCTAAATATCTGGGATTTTTGGCTGGGTATTGCCGTGTGTGACCTCACCGAGAGAACTGGCAGAGAAACCTCTACTATTCTGAAGCTATTTTGTGATCTAGAGAACCTCAATGAAGATCTGGAAAAAAGTGTAGGTATATTAGACATGATTCTTGTAACGATTAATATAGTATTTCTTTCTTAACAGATAAATGAGTTTTCCTGGCTTTGCAGTCACGCAAAATTTCGTTTTCAGTTATATGGACTATTTTCCATAAACTACAATATGGGTTTCCAAATGACAATCACCAGTTTTCTGTACTTGCTTTATTTGGTTCAGTTTGATTTTATGAACCTGTGAAAAGGTTTATTTAATAAATAAACTTTATTTATATATAAAATCTTTATTTTATTAAAGAAATATAAGTTTGAAATTTAATAGTAGTCCACTTATGAAATAAGAGATCTCGACGAACTACAATTTTGAGTTTTACTGAGAAAGTTGGCAAAAGAGCCTTTCAAAATCCTCAAACTGTTCAGTGATTTAAAGAAACCCGAAGTCGAGCTGCATATACATATATATTAAAGAAGAGATAAATTACTTATTTTAGGAATCTAATATGCAAATGAAAAAAATCAAATCTAAAAGGAAGGGCTGCCTATTCTTATTATTAGTTTCCTGTTTACGCTATTGTTTATTCTTTCAGCTTGTGGTATGGTTTTCCTAAGGGATATTCAGATATTCATAGGGAAATTAATTAAATTTTCATCGATTTCTTCGGTAATGGTTTGCAGAGAGCTACCGAGTCGGCAGTCGTTAAACGATGTTCCGGGTTCGTGCTGGCTTTCGTCCTAAACTAGTCTACTACATATTGAACTCAATTCTATACAGTTCCTGGCTGCTTGGCATATTCCCTTTTATTTATGAGCCCCGGCAAAGGAAATTGCATCGCTCCAAATGGCTTATCCTATATGGATTTGTACTGAGCTCGGGCCTGCTTTTCCTGATGTTGAAACATGAAAGCGAAAGGGAGGGAAACGGGCCAAAATTGGATGTTTTTGAGAGGAACTTTGTGCTGCAGCAAATCAGTCTACTGTTGGGAGTAGTCGGAGTCCTGGCAATCTGTGCCATGTACTTGCGGACCTTCTGGCGAAGCAGGAATCTGGAGTGGATATATAATGAGTTGATGCACCTGGAACTTAGATACTTTTGCTCTGACGCTGTGGAGTGTCAGACATTCGACGCCTATGTGATCCAGAAGGGAATCCTCATAGTCGGAGGAGTGGCGTCCACAATGGTAGTGCACTTTGGAGTGCCCAATCAAAGACTGCCCTTAAGTAATCTCATCGTCGTCGCATTGATTAAGCTGGGAACGTTCCTCCTAGCCATACATTTTCACCTTGGAGTGGCCTTCATCTACCGTTTTGTGTGGTCCATCAACAGGGAACTTCTCGGCCTGGCTAATTACTTAAGAGCGCATCCCTCCGGAGGCTCCTCCCGAGTTAACTTGCTCCTTAAACTCTATGGGCAGCTGGTGGATATATACGGGAGATTAACTGAGTGCTACGACTACCAGACGGCCTTGATGATTGTCATCTTCCTGGCTGCCAACATCATCGTCTCCTTCTATATGATCGTCTACAGCGTCAGTTTGAGCCAGATGTCCTTCTTCATGATGCTGATTATGTTTCCCCTGGCTCTGGTCAACAATTTCCTGGACTTTTGGCTCAGCATTGCAGTGTGCGATTTGGTGGAGAGAACTGGCAGGCAGACCTCCATGATCCTGAAGCTGTTTAACGATATCGAGGACATGGACAAGGCGCTGGAAATGAGTGTACGTTGGTAGTTTACTATTATAAGTATCGATTAATATTTATGTATTCTAGCAGATCTCCGAGTTTGCCCTGTTCTGCAGCCATCGGAGATTCAAGTTCCTGCACTGTGGTCTGTTTTATGTAAACCGGGAGATGGGCTTTCAAATGCTTGTCACTAGTTTTCTGTATTTACTGTTCCTCGTGCAGTTCGACTTTATGAACTTGTAACCCTGCGGGCTTTTAACTAACTCCCCAGAATGTGGGGATTTTCCGTAAAGCCCTCACTAAATCTCCCAGCCATGCAGGGCCATGAGATGCAATATTGAACAGGTGACATCATGGCAATAAAAGCTGAATCACAGGCCCTACAAACCGATGTCGTCAAACGAATAAAGTGAATGACTTGCAGCTGGAAAATGTGGAGGAAAGTCGGAACAGGGCCGCAGGACAGCAATATAAACACACTCCTTTGCCATCCTTTCTGCCTCAAAGGAGGCTGGGCTGGCTGAGCCCTCCAAGGGGGCGGGTACACAAGTCACAAAAGTGTGAGCAATGAAGTGGCTACAAAGAAAAAGTGCAATTAAAGCCAGCAAACGGTCGAGGTTTTGGCCTTCTGCACTTCTTTTTGCTGTTCAAGACTAAAGGATTTTCCCCTTTCATTTATTACCAGCGAACAATGGAATCTTCTTACATACAAAGCTTTTCTCTGGCCAGGTTTTGCTTTGTTTTCTGTGGTAAATATACTGCACAGTAATTAAATAAAACAATAAATACATCTACAAATGATAAATATAAAGAATAAATAAATTTTTATTTATTTTTTTCTAAATCTACTTCATACTGCGACTTTCTCTGGTCAAATATCTCCTTTTGATTTATGATTCTATTTGTATTTTTTCTATTATTCGTTCGTCCAGCCATTGGCAACATTTAGGCTTCGTAAATGCAGAAAACTACAACTGACAGGCAACAATTAGGGCAACAATGCGAGAACAGGGAACAAAAGTCAAACAAAAGATTCTCACACTATCTCACACACGTAGGCGCTGGCAGGTCCTTCGTCCTTGGCTGTCAGCTACAGGCCCCACGGTCCCTTTTCGTCCTCGCCGAGGGACCCCCATTATCTTCGATTATCGAGAGCACAAAGCCAGCAACACGATAACAGGCCCAGCCCAGGCCACACTCGACACAATCGCGTAAATTGATTTTTATTATCCTGTGCAGGCAGGAGAGCGCTCCGCGGCACCCCTTGGATATCCTCGAGATTCTGGCAAATTTCCTGCTCATCTGCACGGCGAGCAAACAAAATAAAAACTGGAGTGTACACAAGCATTTGATTTATTGCCCTGGCCCAGGACATCCGCCAATTGTTTGGGCCACGTGGATGCCTCCTGCCTTCTGCCCCTCCCTCCTCACCCTTAGGTCGATCCTTTGTTTACACAATAAAATGCCAGCAGTGGAGCCGGCATTAGGTCAACATTCCCGCTGTTAGCAACTCGTCAACGCGTCCGGATAATTCGATTCGCTCATCTCGATTTCTGCCAGCTTTCAATATATTTTTATTAAAATGACAGCATCTGGTTATCGCCTCTGCTGAGCCCAGCACATTTCCATTTTCATTCCGGCCAGAAAATTTCATAAGAATATTTTCGTTTTATGATGATTTGCCCTGTCAGCAGAAATAGGCTTGCAACGACTTTTTCCTCGTAGTGATAAGTTCGGTAATATTTTCCCATTTTGCTGTCCATTATTTGATCATTGTTTTTATTGCATCGATTTTTGTTTAGTAGAAAGTTGTGAAAAAAATATTTGCGGAAAATAATGACTATAATTTGGTTTGCGAAACCATTAAATAAGAAAGTTAAGAATACATATATTTATTATAAATATAATATAACAAAAATAAACTTAATTATATTTTGCAATTCATTTTAAGCTTAAAATTATTTTTATTGTGTACATTTTCTCCTTATAAGAATTGGGACAATAGAGTCTCATTGGATAATCTGTTTTTAAACTAATTTAAAGTTTTTTTCTGCTCACATTTTTATTATCATCCCAAACTTGTCGCCCATCCAAGTTTAATTTAAGTTTCGCCAAACGCAATTTTCTATAGTTTCAATATTTAGTCAGACTTTCCACTAATTGCCCGGCTCTCTTGGCTTCGTTCCATTTTCGCGTTTCCTCCTCCGCAAGCTTTTCCATTTTAGCCGGCGACACAAATCGGCTTTGCCCGTCTCTGAATTGTTGTTTAAACTGCCAGCAACTTGCAGCAAATTGGCAATTATTTAATTTCGCAAAGTTTTCGTTCAAGGAGGCCCAAACTTTCGAGCAGAGTTTCCAGCCCCGATCGGCTTATATAAATAGCGGGCTGGAGGCCAAAATTCTAACGCATTGCCAAACTAATTAAGGCAGCCGCGGCGAATCAATAGAACAATTGGCGAACATTTATCGTAATTAGAGAAAGGGATGCTGCTGCGGGTTTGAGTTTGGCAGGTTCCTTTTCCTTTTATTAACTGCTTCCCTTGAAGTTCACCCCCTTCCGAAGTCAATCAAATGTATAGCCCCATTTTGGGGTTGGCGGAAAACATATAAATTTAAATTAAAAATCTGCTGATAAACTTTGACCTTTCATTTGCAGCCCTTGGCAATCCTTTGGGTCATTGGGCGTCCTTTTACCGAGGCACCACTGGGCAAAAAAGAAAAAAAATGTTTGGACCGCCTTTCTAATTACAATAAATGGTTAGTCAGCTCAATTTCGTGGAAAGCCTGGCGGAAATTTTAATTAATTTACGAAACAAATTATAAATTGAGGTGAACTTTGGTGTCAGACAAGGGTGAGAGCATCTAATTAAACTTTTATCTGATTTTAGAAAGAAACATCCAAAGGTTGTGAAGCTTTTATTATATTTTTATAAGGGAAATACCCATTAATGGTAAATTACTAAATAACGATAGGCATTAAAGCATACGATATACACTCACTTGGATAATTTGAAATCTATAACATATCATTTAATGAGGGTTATAACATAAATATTGCCTGCGTTGAGTGATTTTTATACTCTCATAAAATAATGGCAAGGCAAATAAATATTCTGCCAGACAAAAACAGGATAGCAAGAATAAAGAGGAGAAATTATCGAAGAAATTTACGATCCTACGATGGTACATTTTGGCGAACTGATGCGTCCATCCGGGTTTTTATGGTGTAAACAAAGCAATGAACAATTTGCGCGCATTCCGGATAAAGCCAATAAATCAAATATATTGGCCAGGCCAGCGAGAGCAACGGGGGAAGTGCGGCCCCAAAACAATTGGCCGAAAGTTTTTGCGGAGCCAAGCAGAATTGGTATAGGAATCGGTGTTGGTTTCGCTGAAGTGGCCAAAGGGGAAGGTGCTGGGGTGCCGGAGTGGCGGATTCAGGATAATAAAAATCAATTTACGCACTTTTGCTGTGAGCGACGTGGCCTTTGTTGTTGTTATTATAGCCGACGAAGCTGATCCTGCTCCTGCTCCTGCTGATGTCCCCTTTGGCACTGTCTGCCTCCTCTCAAGTTCTAATCGAGGCTAATGGCAGTGATTCCGGGAATAAGGATAAGGATACACAGAAAGCTAGAGAGGAGGATGGCGACTTTGGCCTGGCTTTGACAGCGGTTGGCCTCTGTCAATAAGTGGCCAGGCCAGAGTCAGATTATCCGTAGCCTCCGGTGGTTATATTTTTATACCCTTGCAGGGTATTATAATTTCAGTCAGAAGTTTGCAACGCAGTGAAGGAGACGTTTCCGACCCTATAAAGTATATATATTCTTGATCAGCATCAACAGCCGAGTCGATCTAGCCATGTCCGTCTGTCCGTCTGTCCGTCTGTCCGTCTGTCCGTTTCTACGCAAACTAGTCCCTCAGTTTTAAAGCTATCTCAATGAAACTTTGCATATAGTCTTCTATATACTCTCACTGCTATATATGTCGGAACGGGCCGGATCGGACGACTATATCATATAGCTGCCATACAAATGTTCGATATATTTTTAGAAAAAAAATTATAACTTTGTTGTTTTTCAACATTTTGGCACCATTTTTTAGATATGACCATTTTATATTATTTTTGAATTTTGTTAAAAATTTTATGAAAATCGGACGACTATATCATATAGCTGCCATAGGAACGATCGGGAAATTAATAGAAAAAAAATTATATATTCGTTGTTTTTCAACGTATTTTCATCTACTCCGGGATATAAGCTTATTTTATTATTCTAGAATTTTGGTATAAATTTCAAAAAAATCGGACAACTATATCATATAGCTGCCATATAAACCGATCGGTAGATGTATACAAAATGTAAAGCTGGGAATGCAAAACTGTAACTGTCAAACTGTAAACATAATAAGTATAGGTAAAATGTAATGAAATAATATCTGCAAGGGTATACAAACTTCGGCGTGCCGAAGTTAGCTTCCTTTCTTGTTTTTAATATGTTTTTCTGCCACCAACACTTGAATTTAAAGTTTTCTATAGAGTTCAAGCTTTAAATATTAAAAAAAATTGTATTCTAAAAGCTTTTGTTTTAAAGATCTTTTTTCAGATATGTATTACATATTAAAACATTAATTTGTATTAATTAAATGCAAACAGTGAATTCTGCAAAACCAATTTTATGTATTTGTGTACACATTTCCCAACGATTTTAAAGCCATTTTTGTGACATCACAGGCACAAAGTCAGGTAAATCTAATTAAAAATGAATAATTCATCAGGCCATTCCGAACATTCATTTATTTGAATGGAAATCCGCAACAAAAGCCAAACTCCGGGCACAATAAATCAGGAAAAATAAGCAGCGAAAAATGGGAAAAAGTGGCAGCAGCTGGGAAATCGCAGTCAGGGAAATTAGCAAAGCACACACTCTCGCACACAAACAAACACACACAAAAGGCAAACAAAGGAAATGCACCAAAGCTGCTCATGTTAGCCACGGCTTTGTACTCCGCGCTCCTTTCTCCCCGACCATTGTTAGTCGGAAAAACCAGCTGCATTCTTAGCCAGCCAAAAAGTACAAAAAGCAAAGAGCTCGTTCATTTGTTGGCCTTAATTGCGCTGCTTTCACAGCTACTCCATTCCTCAGACGCTTTTGACTTGTGTATGTGTTCTCCTTTTGGCTTTTGCATAGCCTCGTTTTTGGGTAGAAAAGGATTTTGCCTTTTCTCCTGCTGATGTCCTGCGGCTGTGCTCCCATTCCCGTTCCCCCTGCTGAAAAGTCAACAAGGCGCTCTCTCTCAGACACGACTCCTTGTGGGGCCATATCCCACTTGTTCTTCCGCCCTCTCAAAGTCCCCTGACATCTTGAGCTGTCACTTTTATGCAGGTCCTGCAGTTGTTCCCCCTACGACTGTTCCAACACTCCAGACGACACACAAGGAAGTGTGAACCAATTAGAGGGCCCAGAGCGCTTTTAATGTGTCTTCTTCACAGGTTCCAAAAATCAAACTGAATCAGGAAAAGCAGGTACAGGAAGCTGGTGATGGCCATGCGGAATCCCATCTCGTAATTCACATAAAATAAGCCACAATGACGGAATTTTAGGCGCCGATGACTGCAGAAAAGGGCGAATTCGGTAATCTATGAGAAGAAACACATACTTGGTGATTACTTGTTAATAAATAAATTCCGCTTATACTCACACTTCTATCCAATTTTTTATCAAGCTTCTCTATGTCATTGAATAACTTAAGAATGGTAGACGTTTGCCTGCCAGTTCGTTCAGCCAAATCACAGACAGCAATGCTGAGGCAAAAGTCGAACATATTAATGATCATGGCCTGGGGTATCACAAATAGTATCATATAATCCCAGTCCTTGTGCAGGCTGATGGTGTAGATGATGAAAAAGTAGATGCCCATAACATTGGCAATCAGAAAACTGGCCATTACCAAAACCATTTGATAGTCGTAGATGTCCGACAGGCGCGTATTGATGTTCAGCAGGCGATGATACAAGCCGAGCAGGTAATCCACTCGATCCGATGACACCTCTTTTCCATCAGCCAACTCATTGGCCAGCCTCAACAGATCCCTGTTAATGATCCATACATATCGGTAGATAAAGACCACAGCCAAGTGAAAGTGTGAAGCACCCAGAAGGACGCCGAGTAGCATCAGACACAAGCTGGTGACTCCTACCAAAAGCTGCTGACTGAAATTCGGTGACATGCCCAGCTCCAAAATCACCATGGATATAAACTCTACCGCCACAGAGACGCCTTTGTATACCACAAATCTATCGAAGCTGCAGCAGTCCTCCAACGGATAGTGTCGAAAGTGGCGATGTTGGAGGTCCAGCAGCTCATTAAATATCCTCTCTATATCGCCGCTCTTCCAGTAGCCTCTAAGCAGTATAAAGGCCACCGTAAAAAGACTCTGGATATCGTGAATACCATTGACCTGCTCGGCAAGTGGGTTTCTATGGAACACTTCCATCCTCATCGGAGTCTCGGTCTCCGTATCGTTTGTCCACACCAGCGCAACAAGGACTGTGGTCAGGACGAGGCCATACGCAATTAACCACTTGGAACGATGCAATTTCCGCGTCCAGCTGTCGTAGGTGAAGGGAAATATGCCCAGGATCCATGACCCATAGAGAGCACCCTTCAGAGTGAAGCCCACTAGCTTCTGGCGGAAGCCACTTCCGCTCGGGCGGAACATTCCGGCCGGAGACTTAACCACGAATGGAGCGGACTGGAATCAACTGACGGAATGCCAGCTGCGATAAGGATGGCTGGATGGTCAAATGTTTTCCGACAACGGTGTGGGAATTGCTGATGAAGGGATTAATTGTAGTGGCCATCAAAGAATCACTGGAAAAAAATAACTCAAATGATTTTATGGTTAACTTAAAAAGAGGAATATCTTCAAGTTAACTATAAATTGCAATATTTTTCCAAAGCTTAGGGATTTTCTTTTCTATATTTATTATTTTAATATATACTATTATATATTATACGACAATTCTTAAAGTGTGCTTATGCATAACCCTCCAGTTTCTGTTTACTGATGTACAAACATTATGTAGGCCAAACGAGCTCTTTGTGCTCATAATGCGAGCAACATTTGCTGCGATTAAATCATTTAATTAATTGGATGGACACGGAGTTGAAGTCCAGTTGAAGTTTCCTGCCATCGCTGGCGTCATCCGGACGGTCGGCCTTCCCCCCTCTCGGTTGGGTCACAGGCCGATGGCAGGCTCGTAAAAACAATTTGAAGTGCCCGAAAGGAAACCTGAAAACATCCTTCAGAACAGCCAGCCCTCAGAGCAATTCAACTGAAATCTGTGAAAAGCTTCGAGTGCGATAATATCCAGGCATATTCCTCTCCACATCTGGAGGGTTCTCTGCCAAATAAGGAAGGAGTACGAGTTTGGGCTGGGAAATCTCCTCGAGAGGCTGGGCAACTTGACGTCCAGTCCGTTCTGAAAATCTTGCAAAGTCGTGCAAATGAAATTTCGTTCAATTAGTGTGGCAGACGACAGGTTTGATGCCTCAATGAGCTGCTGAGATGTGAGCAAGGTTCTTGTGGGTATGAGAGTGTGGGCAGCATAATCGCAGCTAACCAGTCAGGCGTTGCAGATCCTTGAACTGGAATCGATGCTTGGTTCTGTGATTAATTCGCCTCAATTGACATTTGAGACTTGTCAATAACTGATTCATCTTTGCCCATATGGGGATTTTCCGATACCTTTTTACCTTTCACCCAATGGCCGCCAAAAACTTTGGAATGCTTTCAATTTGTTTTTACAAAGTGCCTGCAGTTTGTGACACTGTTGCCCAAGTTAACACTTTTCCAACTTCCATACTCTTTGGCAGTTATGTTTGCTGCTAAACTTTTAGCAGGTGTCACCTGTGTAAATGCCATTCCCACTGGCACTTCCTTCGGTTATTCCCATTTTCATTATTCGCAATTTTTGGCACCTTTTAAGTTTCAGACTGCCAAATTGAAAGCTCTTTCTGTTTGTTTCTTGTTAGTTGAGTTGAGTCAAGTTAAGCAGAAATTGAATCGTAATTTCAGCATAAATATTTTAATTATTTCACAAGCACTTTGCCATCTTCTTTGACTGGTAAATTTCTAAAGAGAATATTTCCATTAGCAAAACCACATTTCATAACAACCTAGAGCAGCTGAACCGCGTCCAGGGGGTGTCCTTTTGTGGATACTCCAGGGACATTCTCTCCGTAATTTGAAATCACAAGGAGTCGTAACGGCTGCCAACACAATTGTGATTTGAATTTTTAATTGCTGACCACAACAAACGAAAGGAAGGCAGCGATGCAGGGAGATTTGGATTTCCTATGGCTCATCCAGTTTACATCGTCGCTCCTTAACCTTTAACAAGTTTAATTATATGCAAAATTGTCTTGATTTATAGCATATCTACTGTGAATGCAAAGACACTCCAATGTTGTGAGAAACCGCAGAACAATGGCAGTTGAGTGGGAAGACAAGGACATACTTGTGGCAGAGAGAATCCCTTTCTTAAGTTTCCCCAACCAAATGTTATATATTTCCTCTTATTAATTTAATTTTAGTAAAAAAACCTGACTTAATTTAAAATGAGAAACATCATCTTAACAGAGAAAAAGTTAAAAAGGAAAAGTTCTAAAGCGTTACGCATACGCCACGTAACCCGTCATCAATGCGGCCGCCTGTAATTAGGCAACGTAACTCGCAATTTTAGCAAGCTTGCATAATTATAGGTTGCACGGGTATATGTAAGGGATCCCAGGATTCCCCTTTTCTGTTTCGACTTGAGCCTGAAAGTAAAAAGGACACATCAAGGGCTGTTAAGGAGTAACCCGGAGTGAGTTAATTAGACAAATTATATTAGGAAAGCCCGCGGGTGGTCTGATTTTAATAAGATTCGTTAGACCTTTGGTTCCTTCCGGTTCCTTTCCAATTTTTGGTCTGTTTAAATATTAGCTAAGTGATTTAAAACTTATAATAGCCCCTCGGAATATCTCTCGGCAGGATTTGACCTTAAGAAAATTATTTTTAATATCCCAAAAACAAAGCAAAGCAGAGAAAACGTCGCGCCTTTAACCTTTTGCTTGGGATTATTGAAAATGTTTTCCCTTATTGCCGTCATGTCTTGTTTGGCTATTATTCCCGCTGTCATTCCTTGCTGCTGATATCCCTTCGCCATGTTGTCATTATCCTTATTCCACTGACGGGGCAAAGTTTAATGTTTCACTCGGAGAAGGATTCGCAGTGCCTGCGGGACAGCTTACTGGCAAGTCGTTAAAATCAAATGGAAGCGGTCCCAAAGGGCTGGAATCTCCCTTACGAGACGCTAAGGATACTTGGAGCATTTTCATAACCCCGTTTGGAGGAACCTTCTCACGATTTCAGGGCGATCAAATCTCATTTCAAATGCAATCGGTGCACCAATTTGGCACATCAAAGAAAAACAAACAGCCATGACCCGCCCACCGAGGCAAATGAAGTGCAAAAGTGGTGGAAGCACGAACGGCAAAGTGCGAAAATATTTGCACTACAAAGTAGCAAAAGGAAAACAAACGCAAATCGCGAAAAATATTTTCACAGTTGCAAATGTTCGCTCAGGGATAGGAGGGGAGAATGTAAAAGGGTGTTAAAATAACTTGAAAAAACTGGGGTAAATATTTATGAAATATTTTCGCAGAGTCTGCAAATCAAATCAAATTGCTGGCAGAATTTTCTGATTTATGATTGTGGAAGGGGCACTTTTCCAGTTGTTGACTTGTCAAAGGATTGCGGGGAATCCCGGCAGTTGTTTACCAGCTCACCTAATATTGTGCATTCTGTGCACAGACAATGCAATTTGCTGGGTGTTTATGTCCTTCGATAAACTCTTGTGAGCTTGTGTGGAAAAACTGCAGGAAAAACTCTCGAAAAGTGTCCCCTGAGACAGGAGAGTGTTGTAGGAGGGGAAAATTCGCTTTGCTTCAGTGAAGTAAATTGCAAATTTCAAGACGGAAATTGAAAATTTATTGAAGGCGAAAATGTCCTCTTGTGAGACATTTTTAATAACTTTTTTCTGCTCCTATTTATTATATTTTCTTTGAGGGATCCTTTGCAGACTTAAGAAAGGCACAGCGATTGATGATACTGGCTGTCAGCGAACAAAGTGACAACATTTTGCATCGCAATCGGAGGAAGACAGTTTCCGTCTGCGATTCCCTTCCCTTGAAGGAGCATTAAAAATTTGTTTTGCCTGTTTACTTGAAGCTGAAATTTCGCAATATTTTCTTTCCTCATTTTTTATGCTTTCTTTGGAGCGCCACAAAGTGTGCAACACATGCAGCTGAAGTTTCCGCGAAAAGTTTTCTTTTCAGCGCCTCTTCCGCCCTCCGTCTTCCATAATAAGTTACGCTTAGTATTTTCTCTTTACTTCAGCCCCCTCTAAGTGCATTTTTCACCTTTTATCATTATTTGTTGGCTCATTTTCCACGCTTTTCCTTGGAGAAACTTCCCGAACTCCAGCTAAGAGAGCGATGATTGCTTTGGTCTATGCAAAGTGTCTCAATTTGGGCTCATGTATCCATTAGGTGCTCCCCACTCGCGTGTATAAAGTATATATAAAGTATTTTGCAGATAATAAAAATTGGCAAACGGCGCAGAATTTATGCGCTGTGGAAACTCGTAAATATTCAATGTGCCCGTGATAAAAATCGGCAGTGAAAACGCAGGACTAATAGAAAACTCTGCTGTGCATAGAACTTGTGCTTGTTGGTATTTTGCAGAAAGTTTTATGAGTCTCTGATCTCTCGGGCAAAGTTCAAATGCTGAATATGTCTCAGGTCAATAAACGGATTATAAATATTTATGGGTATTTCTCTGGCATAATTATCCATAAACTTTATATATCACAGAGTTTATTTTTTAAGCTATACAAACATAAATACTTTACTGAATTTAATAGTCTAACTACTCTCAATATTTCCCGATTCAGTACACATCCCAAGGCCTTTGTCCTTGGCAAACTTCCTTTAATTTCCGTAGTAATAAATTTCAAAGAAAATTCATTTCAGTTTCCATTGAAATTACCAAAGATAAACAGAAATCGAAGCTCCTTACCCTCTTTTCAGCATTAATTTAAACACAATTAAGAGGCGACAGGAAAAACGACCAAAAACAGACAAAAGTTAAGGAGAAAGAAGGAGAGGCACAGTGAGCTGGAGCATAAAATCAACTTCAAGGGGAAACATCTCCGAAAAGATAAATAAATTAAAAGAAAATAAAATAGAGTCGAGAGGGAGGGAGCGACAGGAGGCAGTGAAATCGATGCGAAGGTCATTCCGGGTCAGCGATAAAAATTCCAGCACACTCTTCGCCTAGAGAGAAAGAGAGAGATCTGAATTAATTGCAGAGAAATTTTATTTTACGACCGAGAATTTCAGTTCTCCTCGCGAGACTCTTAAAGGGGAATAAAACTCCCTCGCCAAATGGGAGCCCCATCAAACAGGAAATGGGTTGCAGATGATTGTTATTGAGCCTTGAATTAAAAGCGATGAAAATGTGATGGAAAGTGCGTTGTCGAAATTCGTTGTTCCAGCAAAAAAATTAAAACCTGCAACAAAGAGGGAAATTTCTGCATTTTCTTGTTGCCGTTAAACATTACCAACGAAATGTTCGCATGTTTAACTGCGCCGTAAATTAATTTGGGAAAAGTT